AACGATTCACTGATAGCTGCTCGTGAAGATAACCTGCACTGAATTAAAACTAACGAGCATTTTAAGAGTTCGTTTGCTCGCTAGCATAAGCCGAACTCTCATTTTAGAACGGTGCATAACAATGGTAGCTTACAAGAACACCTTTACAATGGCGAATGGTGGTCCTTACACTGAAAGTAGACTTTACAAAGGAAGGCGCACAAATTGGAATTTCTACTTCAGAATAGGAATTGGAATTTCTACTTCAAATTGGAATTTCTACTTCAGTCATTAGGTTAATTGGAAGCAGGAAAGATGAAACATATGCAAACGCCTTCGCCGGGAATCGAACCACGGACCTCTGAAATACCGGTTCAGTGTGCTGACCATTACAGCACGAAGGCACGCTAGGAAAGTGGGAGAAATACCTTCTATAGGTACGCTACGCATGGCATGACAAGGTATGCAAGTTCATACAAAACTTTAAACGGTAACCAAGAAATTATTGCGTAGTCTCTTTACACCAGAGAATCTCCATACAGACTATATCTCATAGGAGTTAAGCGATTATTAGTTCATAATGAACTAAAAAGGGAAAGCTTCCAAACTGACTGTAATATGATTCTCACAAAGCTCATATTTGAGAAACTACCGCACCTCTGAAAACGGTGTCCATAATACGAAAGCCGCTTTTCAAAATGAAAAACTGCACCTATTCTCCTCATTGGCATTGGCTCGAGGCTTACCGAGGGCATTGCTCATTACATGGAATCCGAATATTGAGCTCTGTCCGAATATTGAGTTTTGGAACAATTTTCGTCCACTGTCCTAACCATAAAGTTGCACATAATTACACATCTGATAATATGTATAAAAATCATTGTAAATCATTCTACTAATTAACACCAATACAATAATTTTCCCTGAATACTTATACATTAATCGTACAATTGTTTGTTGCTACCAATCTCACTTGTCTGACACTGGTCAGGACAATCCCACAACATTCATCGAGGTATGAAATCAAGTGCGCCTGTCGCTGGCAAGAGCTTTGAGCACTATATAAGTGACAGCCCGACTTTAGCTCAGTTCCGACCCTGGGCAGAAGTGTCCAAGAGTTTCCCACCCTTCTTCCCAAACGACCAACCTCTCGAGAGGACTTTCGGGTCGCAGCATATTTGGACTGCCCCGATGCAGCACAGACACTATATATTTACAAACATCCATACCTTCTCCAGGATTCGAACTCGAGTCCTTCGGTATACAATAAATCAATCCTACAAAATCAACTTTTACCAATAAAAGTGAACATTTCATCACAATAATATATACAGAAACTTCCATTGCTGTCGCGTGAAACGCAGTAACAAAATCGCATGTGGTCTACCGTTCATTAAAAAAAGTATTAAGCTTCTCGAGGATAAAATGGAAAGACAAATGCCACATTTTAGAACATGATAAGAATACGTGACGAGAATGCATCACATGCTATCTCAACTAGCAAACCATGGCCATTTTCGTCGATTCAAAGCGCGTGATATAAATCTGCATAAGGTCAAGGCAACTCGTGAAATTACAGCGTCACTGATAAAATATTTTGGAAAACAAACTTGCTGAAATTTGGTAAAGGCTTAGCAACTCAGTTAACAAATAAGAGAAAAGAATTCAGCTAAGGAAAAGAATCAAACAGGACGATTTCATTATATTAATAAATAAGATTTTTTACATAAGCTTTCTGTGTTTAATGGTAAAAATCAATTAAAATTCATATACTGAAAGGAGGTTTTTATGACTTTTAACATAATCTGCAAAAAACTCCACCCCCCCCCAAAAAACTGCTCATAGTTTAATTTAGAAAACAGTTTATAATAAAATATTACATACTTTTTCTGTTGAAGAAGTATGTTCTTGATAATGCTCATAAATCGGTTTGAACATTCCTGAAAAATCACGAAGCTAATCAGTTTTGGTAACACTACAGACTCCTAGAAATACTTTTTTAAAATGTAAACTCGTCGAAGAAAATTATTAGACGCTAAAAGATATTTTCTCCCGCCTTGTTAACATGCCTTCCCATGTAATGGTCACCAAGCTCGGCGTGCATTCGAGAAATCCGAGGTTCAAGTCCTAGCGAGGGCACGACTAATTTTCACATCTGTTTCCAAATGAAAAACTAATGTTTCTACAGTGGCATCCGAACTAAAAAAAGTGGTGTATGATGATTCTTCACCACCAGGATTTGGCGATTGGGTCTTCTAAAAACCCCGGTTGCCCTTTAAAAGGGGGACTATATATAATAAATAAAGTATATAAACGAGTATATAAACGTCGTTTCATATTAAGTATGTGGTGGCCATTTAATGCCATTTCAGAAATTGTAGGAAATTAAGTTCTAGCTCGCCCAAAATTCAGTTAAGTATTTTTATGGAAACCGAATTCTTTTCTGGACTTAATATGGCAGATAATTAATTCCATTAATGTAATTCCTTTAAAAAGTTTCATTAAGTCTGAATTAAATTTTTGCGACTCCATTTAGGGAGTCTATACCAATTTACTTAGCGCGTTATTTATTGTATGCATAGAAAATGAGAAAAAGTAAGGATACGCTCCAGTATTTCCAAATGATTGTCATAATTAAATTATTATATGGAATATTATTATATTGGATAATTACCTATTATATGGAAACATACAATGCAAAACGAAGTCTTACAATAATGAAACTGACAGTCGACAAATTTAAAGTTTAAATGCGTAGGCATTTCAACCGAACAGTCTATCAATATTCTGAATTTAGGCTTTTTCTTAAACAAAACCTATTCCTACTATTACAAGTAAAAAATGCAACAAAAATATCTGTCATATTTTACTCTCTAAAGTAAACATTTTGGTCATTTTTTACTCTTCAGAAAAATCTTCGAAGTCGAGCAATACATGCTAGCAGCTTAAGAATTTAATTTTCTGAGTTTTTAATAAATAAAGATCTGACTATTAATAATTATCAGCGCATGGCTTTTATCATAGGTTAAATTTGAATAAATTACGGATTTTAAGATTGACTGTATTTTTCTCTCGAATTATCTTTTCGAAAAATATGCTCTTATAACTGCTATCTGATATTAAAAAAAATAACATGATGACGGTAACATTGCAGAGACATTCGGTATTTTTTGGAAGCAGGAGAGATGAAAAATGAGCAACGCCTTCGACGGGAACCGAAACACGGACCTCTGGAATACGCGACCGGCGTGCAGACCACCACATCACGAAGACATGCTAGGAAAGTAGGACAAATACCTTATATAAATAACTATTAAATTTATTGTAACATGTTACTAACTTTTAAATTTGAGGTTAAAGCATGTTTACTATATTTAATTTTCGTTTCTGAAGAACAGCGTATGAAGCCTCACATGTATAAGGTTACCTTTGTTGTAAACCATTTTTAAATTACAAAACATCTTCAACAATTCAAGGCCACGTAGCTTTCATTCTTTTCCAGTATGGTGATGCCTACTATGCAACCCATCATTTAGAAAAATACGTGCTATTAAACTACGAACTTCTTCAAATGATAAAACTGTTATCAACAAACATAACATTTTCCCTCCACAGTCTCTCTTATAACATACCCTGATATGTTTTCAGATCACTCTCTCATAAAAAACCTGTCAAAAACTCGCAGATTCTCATAAAAGTAAAAAAGAATTTAAAAAAATGTTTTATTTAATAACAATTTTTAAAGTGTAATCTTTTTCAAAATAATTTTCTTTCTTCAACGTAGTGTTAACCACACGAAGTATGGGTTAGTTGATAATGGTCAAACTTCATCAAAAAACATAAACTCAGTTAGTTATGCCGTTGCATAAACGGCATAACTGAGTTCGGAATTTGAAAGTGTAATGTACTCATTATAGAAGCCTTAGATAAATGTTTCAGATGAAACCCAGCGCATTTCAGTTCTTCTATCTGAGATGTTTGTTCAAAATCAACCATCAAGCTACATTATTCTTTTATTTTTCAAACAATTTATCCGCTCTACAACTGTTATAATTTATAAGAAATATATATGCCATAGCTGCCAACCTTGAACTACAAAAAACCGGGAAGTTTTCGGTCCCAAACCAGGGATTTTCCAGGACGTCATTGAGCCATGATTCGGTACCATTTCAAATGAATTCTAAGCTTACCTAAATTTCGTTATAATGCAAGATTCAGGTTATTTAACTATTCATATTATGATTCTACCGTAAAGTATATTAATATTTATTTAGATAGTCTAAATTTTACGTACTTTGCCTAATTTCATTTGGGAATTTTTCGACACTTTTTCACGGAGAAAATCCGGAACAGGGTAGGAAAACTTTAATTTATCCACATGCGATGAAAATCCAAATTTAAAAAACGATGAAATGGATGCACGATGAAAAAAACGCGAAATTTAAACATGATGAAAATAAATTATTACTTAACGTACATACACTGCTGAAAAATTAAATTTAGTAATGTATAATGATGTAAAACAAAATTAAATGCAAATATTACCGAATTAAATATTGATTGAATTTCAATAAAATGTTCTATCAACATCTAGAGTAGATTAGACAATTCAGATCAAATAAAATTTTGTAAGAAAAACTGCTGAAAATCATTAGGGGTGGTGTAACAAAATGGACACAAATTTTCACTAATTCAATACATTTCATTTATTTCTGAAAAACACTTTTTTAAGTAAAGGCTAAAAACTAAAAAACCAGGAATCTGCTGATCTACTACAGGGAGGTAAGATGTAAAAGCAAGAGACTTGACAGCTATGATATGTACATGTGTATGCAGTCGCGCATATGCACGCACATGTTGTTCGTACTTGTGCGAATTAAGCGAATATTTATCCCACGACAACCAGATAATTGCAACATAAATGCATCACATTTCACGATAAATAAAGTTTTCTTACATAAACTGCATATGCTCAAACTATCCTTCAGCACTTAAATAATACATGCTTTCAAAAATCTTACTTTCATCGACTATGTACGATCCGTACTGAAACACGGAAGAAACACAACCCATTTTCTAGCCAATAATCGATACACATCCAAACAGGCTTAAGAACTGGTTCAATCTTTTGTATCTTTTTGCAGTTTAAAACAATAACAACAAACACTTGCCGAGAGAGCACGTCACGTCACATGTCCTTTACTCCTCAAAAACTCTGATCCAAATGCGTCTTCCCTTGCCAGAGACAAGGAACAGCAAGACGTGAAGCAAAACAACAATTTAAAAAAACAGCCTTCTTCTTTCCACAACTGCGAACCCTGATTTGCTTGATATTTACGTTCACTCCGCCTCTAGATTGCAACGTCAGTGTTCTCGACCTCTTTACGAGACGCGAACTTCTTCGCAGACAGAAAACAGCATCATCGAAAGGGGGACTTACACTTGCCCTTTTCCTCCGGAAGTAGCCATCGCCCAGATAACACGTGCTTGCTGTATTGTTGTTTTCCTTACGGCACAGCTAACTCCAGCTGTGTATACCAAGAGTGATGCAATACAGCTAGAACATGGACACGTACAACAAGCAGGCATTATATACAACACACGGAATATTAAATACTATCATTCATCTATATATTTAGAATTGAGCTCACTATTTATTTATGTGTTTGGAAAAGACGAACAACAAGGCTGGCGAAAGAAATAAAAATTTTTGGTACGGAAAATCTCCGCTCATCCGAATTAATGTCAGCGAATTCATTTCGGACAGCTTTTTTTTCTTTCAATACCCAATAGTTATTTTGTTCCATAAAAAATGGAAAGAATTCATTTTAAACACATATTTTTTTCAGTTTTTTTTTAACACGTTAGATAAAATAACCTTCAATATCTTAAAATAAATCTGCAATGCTTCTTCTTATTCAATGTTTCTACGTGTTAGTTTTCTAAAAACGGTAGTCACCTTCAGCCATTTAAGTAATTTTAAAAACGTGTCAGCTTCAGTAATAAATCGCATCAGTGTCTATTGTTTCAGTTTGTTGTTGTCATCAGTTTCAGTCGTTTAAATGTTAATCTAATAAATATTTTTAAAATTTCAATCACCTCACATAACTCATGTGTGCGCACACACACTTACACATAATTTACAACTTTATACATAACATCAATTAGAATAAGCTATTAAGCATTAATGCCCGAGTTATTCAAATACCACCCGCATCTTTAACCATTTAAGCATTACTAGAAAAACATATCAACTGTCATTATTCCGTAATAAGGGTAATAAGGTTTTTTTTTCAATTACCCCTAAACAACGGATTACTGAGTTTAATAAACAAACATTCATACAACGCATGCAGCAATCTAGAATTACGATCTCTCACATTTAACTATTATCAGTACTGTTGATTTTCAATTATCATTTAAATCAACATTCTCTCAGCCCTAGATTATTTAACATGTTACTGCTCATTACGAATTTTTATTGGTGAAATAAAGAACTTTAAAATCTTCTGCTCTTGGAAAAATTACGGAACTGCCAATTTTATGAGATAAAAATGTACCATCTTTGCAACCGAACATACATATTTCTTAAAAGTGAACCAAACCTTTTTCGAAGGAACACTCACGAAAGAATGAAATGAATGAATTTGTTCAAATTTGACAAAAGTTTTTTCCTTTCAGTTTTCTATACAAATATTATATTTAAAACACAAATTATCTGTAATCTTTCATCATCAAAACATAAGAATATAAGTTCAAATAGATGTTTTAAGTGTTATAGTTTATTTCATTACGGCAAAGCACTCGAGGCTAACTGCTTCAAAAAAAGGTGTCTTCGTGGAGCATTTTCTATGCGTATTACACCTAAAACAAAACCAGTGAAGATATATTGATAATGTAAGACTCTCTAATTATGAATACAAATATCAATTAATAACTATTAATTAAAAAACCTGGTGACTGATAAATAACACATAACAAAATTTTACACTTAAAAAAAAAAAAAAAAAAAAAAAAAAAAAAAAAAAAAAAAAAAAAAAAAAAATTCGAGAATTTTGCTAAAAGTATCACTTGATTCTTAGATGTACAATATTCTTGGATATTTTCATTTATTAAATTATAGTAGTAGATATATATTAAGGTTAAACCTATTAAGCTATGTCACTGTACCTCATTTAACTGTCCCTTGGTCGCTGAAAATTTCCAATTTAGCAATCAAGCAATCAACTTCAATAACACATACGAGAGATTAAACTTAACTAAAAACTTGCAAAATTTCAGGAATGCCAAGTATTTAAAGCAGCAGAACTCAAAATATTTCATCTACTGGCTCTCGTCCTGCAACGGGAATTCTAATTCTACACTATATCTAATTTTACTTACCGATCTACGTGTGGGTTAAGTGGAAGGCTATCTTTCACAGGCTAAATGCTCTTGCAAGTGCTAAGTTACCACAGAATTCTTCCTAAACTACGAATTCGCTCACTATTCAGACTGAAAATAATTTGTATTCTGGTGAAAACTAAAAAAAAGGGAAGGTACAGAAAAGAATTTAAAAAAATGTATTACCTAAAATATATAAATATTTTACATACTAAATTTACCGTGAAGTATTAGACCTAAAGACCAGTGTATCCAAAATGGTGTCATTTGAATACTTGTAATCAATCCTTAATCATTAGTGAGGATCAGTACTGAGACAGCAGCGAATACCTCAAATCAATTGCTTTCAAACATATTACAGATCGTTTCAGGTTTGATACAGAGAATTCCATTTAGTGTGTTATTCTCAGTGCTTTCTTGTACATCTCATCTAAAGGAATCTTGCAGCTGAAAATCAAAACAAAAATATTCTTTTCTAATGATACTCTGGGAATCAATAACTAAAGTAATTACGTCTTTTCTATATGAACCCTGCTGCTGAAGTTTCAAAGATATCATTAAAAATATAAGGAAATATCTCTTCAAAAGATAGTTTGCGATCATTAATGTAACTTTCGAAACATACTCGGTTTTCGATATTTTTTCCATGTGAAAATGAGAGATAAATGATCTCAAAAACCTTTTAATGATATGAGGTATAATACTTCGAAAACTGTATAAACTCGCAGAGAAATAATAAAGGGCAAATAATGAAATGATTTTCATACAAGGTTTCATGCAAGGTCACACTAGTTTCTAATTTAACATTAGAACAGAATCAACATGTACGCTGGCAATGGTGTTACTAAAACGTATTCTGCACATTTTGAAGGACAATCGTGAGTTTTCTCTTTATCGCAAAAAATAACATTTTCAATAACATTAACATCCGTCCAGTGTTATATCTGCCACGTTGTACAAAAGAGAAGTTTGCATTCAAAAAACATAAACATTTAAGAATTTCATCTTTTGATGTAAATATTACTTTTACTCGTTCTACATACGTTTATGACACTATATGCATGCTTCCAAATGCCCATATTCGGGTGGAGACGTACATTATTCAAAATTGGATGGCTCTAGGAACCGTTGTTTTATCACAATAGAAGAAACATATATACATTCATGCTGATTATTCATTACTTAATTTCTTTAAATATAATGCAGGGCTCTAATAGTTGGTGGCAGCAATTTTAAAAGTGATTTAGACTTTTATAGTGAACCAACGCAAAATGCCGAAATTAATAGCCCTTCTTATCTAACCCTCCTTTAGGCTAAAAATTTAAAACAAGTTTTTATTTAAAACTGATAAAACAATAAATGAACTAAAAAGAGAAAAATCATTTATCATACATTACTGGAAACAAGAGATTAAAAAAATACTCTTTATAAAATTTATCTATATTTTATAAAAATAAAGTATTGGGCGCTCTTGACTATACGCCAAAAAAATTACTTCGCTGCAATTTGAAAATTCAAACTTAAAAAATAAAAAAAATAAACAAGTTTTTATTTAAAACGGATAAAAAAATTCATGAACTGAAAAGAAAAAATAATTTATCATATAGTTTAATGGACTAAAAATTCTCTTTATAAAATTTATCTAAAATTTTATAATAAGAATAATAAAAGTATGGAACGCTATTGATGATAATACACAATAACTACTTATTCATTAGTATTTAATAATTTATTTGATGCACTCTCAATCCTTCCAAAGTAGTTTTACCAAGGATGATCAACAATAAGTGTTAGATTGTTTGCATTTTAAAAAACCTTCCCACAGAACTGAATTTGGATCGATGTACCGTAAATACATTTAGGGAAAATAGCGGGAAAAAAAACAGGAAATTTGCACCAAATTTATAAAGAGAATGGCTTACACTTTTAACAATGCAATTCGAGTACTAGATACCTTTACTTAGGTCTCCAGGCTATTATTATTCGCGATTTAAAATTCTAGAAGAATTTTGTAAAAATTTACTTGATTCTCTTACACTATTTGATAAATTAGTCTTATTTAATTTGATTAATTAACTATTTTATACGTTTTACACAAAAAGCTCATTTAAAAAAATTTTTCAGATTTTAAATTATGTCCAAAGGGGTGATTTTTTAATATTTTGTGTGTTACCTTATTTATTAAATATCACGTTCATCACTTTAATTACTTTAATCAGTTCAAGAGCAATATCGCAAAATAACTTTAAATTGAGCACATCTTTAGAATTTCCGATACACAGTCTCACGGGCTGGAAATAAAAATATTTTTTTTTTTGTTCAACGTTGCCATTGCTCTCTTTAAAATCCTTGAGTTTGTTAATCAAAAATTCATTAAATTTTTATAAAATATGAAATTGGTAATAAAACAAATTCAAATTTCAAACTTCGGCTCCCAGATGCCCATATTCGCAGTAGGATTACGTTATTCAAAATTGGAGGGTTCTAGGTACCATTATTTTATCACAATGCGAGAAACATTCATACATTTATACATTAGTTAATTTATAATTCTTCATTAGTTAATTCCTTCAAATATAATACAGGGCAATAATATTAGTTGCAACAGTTTGAAAAGTGAAACAGACATTCAGAGTGATTCGACGCAAAATCGCAAAACGAAAAGAATAGTCCCTCAGGGTAAAAGCCCCTTTGGACAAAAAAAAAAAAAAAAAAAAAAAAAAAACTACGTTTTAGTCTCAATTACATGTTATCAATCAAATTTTTGAAACACAAAATGATTTTTCAAAAATGAATAATTACTCTTTTCCTTCCGAAACATTCC